CTTTTCTACTTAGATCTTCTAAGTAGGCTTCTATCTTCCTAGTTTCTGTGATTTACATAGTCATAGGAACTTATTATAATTTTATATTGCTCAGTACTAATTTGGGTTTCTTTATACAAGATACAACTATTGCACAAATGCTATATGATCTTTTAGTTAGACTAATATAATATAAGTAACAGATATCTAATCTCAACCAATAACAAAAGACAGTTAACTATAATATAGAAAGAATTTTTAAATTTTTACTAATACTGGAATTTGAACTTTAGATTTGTCACTTAGAGATTAACAACCTAACCACTTTACTAGATCATCACACCTCTAATTTATATAATATCTCATATATTTTAAAATATAAAAAAAATATACAATTAAACAACCTACTAAATGAGCTATTAAAAATATCTGTAATGCATATATAATTGTTATGTGCTTATTACAACATTATATAAGTAATATTATTCTACTGTTATTACAAATTAATTGGAACCCAACCTGGTTATACCTTAATAACAATATTAAAAGAACAAATAATCTTATTTAATTAAAGTAAATTTTTTAAAACCAAAATACTACTTAACATCTTACCAATATTGCATTATTTTTATAAACTATGTTCAAACAGTTTTTGGCACAATAACTGCATTACTTGCCAAATATTAGAACATTTTATTACACTAGTTGTTTTGTTTTAATTTAACAAATTTTATTAGTATTATTATAAAAACAAGTTTTGAAATTATTATTAGATATTACACAACTACAAATATAACAATTATGCTATTAATTAACTTAATATAACAGCTTATAATTTAATAATATTTTATAAGAACAAACTGACATATATACAATATTACAAAAAATATATACTAACAGATCTAATTATAACAATTAGATCTTATACTATATTTTATCAAATAACAACTTTAGTAATTATTAAACTGCTTATTAAAATATTACAAAAAATATATAATTACATTTAAAAAATATATGTTACTAAACTAATATAATAAAAAAAAATAACAATATTATACCAAATAACAAGTTTATAACTTGTAAAAGATCTCATAACTACTTTAATTAATATTGCAACTTATATTATATAGTTTATTAACTGTATAATTTATTTAATTAACTTTATATAGAAAATAATAACTGCTTATCACTTGGATATACATTTTACAAAATTAACTTTTGATTTGTATACTAAAGAATATTTTAAATTATTAAATCTAGATGAATTTTAACTACTTTAGTAGGTTTAAGTTGCAGATAAATTAGATAATAGTTTGAACTCCATTCTTGTAATATATTTGTAATTAAAATAAGTTTGTAATTTATATTTAAAGAAACTTCTAAAAATCTTTTTAACAAATTAATCAAGATATAAGCAAATTTTTATTTTAATTTAAAAAAAACAAAATAAAATAAAAAATAAAAAAAATAAGATTTAATATAATAAAAATAATATTTGTAATAAACTAAAACTATTTATATAGACTAATTTAGTACAACTTTTAAATTTAGAACTTATTTATTTTAATTAATGCAACAGACTGCTTTTAAACATTTATTAAAAAACTAAAGATATTAAACCAGAAATTAAATCAAAGTATATACAAATATGTAAATATAAATCTTAATAAAAATTGACAATAAGGTTGCCAAAGAGTTAAAAAAATTTTTTTTATTTGTTACAAAAAAAAATCTTTTTAATATAATTTTTAAGTTATTAGATAAACAATTTACTTTTAACTAAATAATATAACAAGTTGCACTTAGATATTTATAAAGTGATTAAATAATAATCTAAATATTAAAAAGCTTTATATAATTATAACTGTAATTTTAATCTTAATAAAATATTAGTATAATTATTTAAAAAAAAATAATTTTATTTTATTTTATTTTTTTTGGTATTAAAGTATTTTTTAATTTTTATATAATTATATAAAATTAAAACAAAAAATTTTTATCAATTTTGATTTAATAATTGTTGAAATATTTTAATTCAAAGTTTAAAAAAAAATTTACTTGGTTTTTACTAATACTTCTACGTATATATAATTTTTAAATCCATAAATTTAAAAATAATTAAAATGACTACAATATATATAACGAAACTTCTAATTTACTCCACATACGTACAGTACATATAAACACCATATTAATTTTAAGATAGAATGTGTATTCGTAACAGCTGTTACATGTAACACCCATAGTAGCCAATAGAATTTAGAGTTAGAGATTGGGAAATTTTTATTTGTTTTTATTGGCTATACTAAGTATAATGTTACAAATAAGGCGTGTAACATCATGTTACAATTAGATTCGTTCTAATTTTAAATATATTATATATAGTTAATTTGTAAACTTTGCTATTGCTATACTATGAAAATACCAATACTAGTTAGTATAAAATAATTATATAGTATAATTATGGTTTTTATATACGTATATGTGTATAAAGCTAACGCTAAGCAAAGTTTTTTATAATTCGGCCAGGTCAAATTTGCTAAACTTATCTACGTATATATATATATATTTACTATCCGAATGATCCTTTAAAAAAATTAAACCAAAAATTTTTATACGTATGTAATTGTTAAAAATAAAATTAAATGTGGGTTCCGGGTTACTTTTTTATATTGTAAAAACCAAAAAATTAATTTTATATAATAAAAAATATATTTTATAAAAAATTTAAAGTTTAATATTAGGTTTAGAATATTTAGGTTTAAATTAAAATTTTTAAAAATTTTTTAATAAAGTATATATAAAAATTATGCTTTTATACAATACACAATATTACAATTAGAGTTAATATTGTTAGCTACATTTAATGCTTTATTAAAAATTTTTAATCTTAACATTTAGCAATAAAAAAAACATTATTGGTTTTAAATTTAATAATATACACAATACTGTATATACAGTATTTAAATACTGTAATTGCAAATTATATAAACTGTATTTTAAAAAAAAAATTTTCGAAATATTTGGTTTGATGCATATTAGTGAATGATTTAGAGAAACTCCGATTACAATATAATTATTATAGAAAAAAAAACTAATGGATTTCAAACAGGGTGATTTACATATAATATTTTTTAATAAAGTAAAATTCAAATTTATATACAATAGAAGATCATCATTTTGAAATTCCAAAAAAAATTTTTTACAAATGAGCAGATGCATTTTTTTTATTCAAAAAGGATCTATAATAAACACACTGTCAGCTAGTCAGTTTGATCAAATATGAGTAACACCGGAATCGGCGTCAAACTTTGTGCTTCCAAAAAGTACTATTGACGAAAAAATTTCTAGTTCTGTTGACTCGTGAACCAGGTTACTAATCACGTTTCTGATGTATCGTATGTAGTATTGATTTACAGACCTTCTTCGGCAACAAAAAGTAAGGATGCATCTTCAAGATAAACGAAGAATTGATTCAAGAAAGATCAGAGCACTGGGATCATCGGATGACAATGACAATCCATCCTTGAAGTTAATTCAACTATCATGGCAGATAACGAGCGTGGTCTGTCATTCACCGAGAATCACAAAAAGATCATTTTTAGAAATATTCCAATTATTCGATTATATATTTGATAAAAAAACAAATAAATTCTAAAATTCGAAAAGTAGGCCTTCTTTTTTTCGATTATTCCTTTATTATAAAGGTACTTTTGTAACTCACTTAACAATAATTTGACCAATTTTTTACGTCATTTATAGAATGCTTGAAAACGTGACGAGTAGAAAGATCACGAACAGAAATGAAGTGTTAAAATGAAGCTTGGTTAAGGCCAAAGATAGTTTAATGATACATTTGTAAGTAAGGTGTAGCTGAAAAAAGGCAATGTTTTTTTTTTCAAAAACAAATTCACACGCCTATATTAAAAAAGAATGTTATGAAACGACATGTTACGCATAAACCAATCGCCAAAAGAAAGACACACGATAATTCTAGTTTGGCGTCCACTCGTAAAATATTTTTTCTTTGAAATATGTACACCTGATTTTACCATTGCTTACTGCCAGTTCTTTAAGTGGAAAGTACACTACAGATCAAAAAAGAAGGTTCCCGATGCAACTAACTATTGTTGGATAATGCTAGGTCTGATAAGATGATGTCAATAATTTATTTTAATTTACATATTTTAATGATATTAGATTCTACAACTGTGCGAATGTATGTGCACTGCACTAAACAGATAATGGATTTAATGGGATTTTTAATGATTTCTTATAAATAATTTATTCTGATCCACTTTTAGACATGCATGAGGTATGCAACTTTATGATTACTACTTACTACGTATTACACATATCATCCATGATTTTTCAGGAAAAAAAAGCAGACTCTGCGACAAAAGTAAAAATTAAAAAACTTTTTAGATATACAATACAATCAAATATATCAATGAAAAAAATTCCATCTGCTTTTTTAAAAAGAAAAGAACCTTAAAAGTTTGAAAAGAACCTTAAAAAGTGGTTTCATATGAATTACGAAAAACGCGTTCTTCATATTTTTTAATAACCGGTGTTATCCTGTTTTTTTTTTTATATTGACGATTGTAAATTTATTTATATTATTTAATATATAGGTATCAGTGTATGACTATATACGTATCTATTCATGTTAAGTAAAAGGTAACGAAGCACGAGTCAATCAAACAAAAAGCAGTTTTGCCACAAACATTAGAAAGTTTGATTTAAGGAGCTTCTTGTGTTTGAGTTTTTGCACCGCCCATCTTTAAACTTGATCAAATCAATCTGATTCGCTATTCTGGCTTTTGTTCTGCACTCTACTTGGTTCATTTAATTCATTTTATTTTCTCTTAAACCGTTTCTTTTCCTTTTTTTAATAGTCATTAGGAGCGACTTCATCTCGCTAGCTTATGAACTTCATTTTAAAAGCCTTATAAAAAATTATTACCATATTTTGTTTATAATCCTGACATATTGACTACGCCAGGGTATTACGACTAAAAATGGATTATTCAACTGTATTTAAGAATTTGGGTAAGTTATTTAATCCCGGCCATAATTTTTGAGTGTAACAAGCCTCCGAAAATTAAGCTTTCTTCTTAATTATTATTAGCAAAGGAAGCTGGTGTTTCTATACCCTCTTCTGCCTTTTCTAAACCGATTCTCAGTCGTCAAAGCGCTACTTCTACAACTATAAAAGTGAGCAAATGTGCTAAATGTGGAGAACCACGCAGCGCAATTGGGTGGTGTAAGCCGTGCGACACAAACAAACTTAAATCTCAGTTCGAAAAATGGACGAGCGGTAATGAGGATCTTGATAACTTTATTAGAGAAACCCAACTAAACGCCAATACTCAATATGATTATATGCGATGGATTCCTTTTGAAAGCTTTACTAATATTGAATACGTCGCAAGAGGGGGAATGGGTGTTGTATATTCTGCAAATTCTGAAAATTGGGGAAAGGTTGCACTCAAATTTTTGGATAATTCTGAAAATTTAGCTAAAGATTTTCTGGATGAGGTAATAATAAATTACGATATTTCTTCGGAGATTGGTTTTATTTGATCGTATTTATCATATGATCAACTTTATCATATTTATTAATCAATCTTTAATTACATACAGCTTAGAGCCTATCACCGTTGTAGTCTTGGCTCTGGAATAGTCGATTGTTACGGTGTTAGTAAAGATCCAAATGCAGGCAGTTATGTGATGGTGATGCGATACGCTGAACAAGGGAATTTACGACATTACCTTTCCAACTATTTTACTGACTTGTCATGGGACGAAAAAATTGTATTATTTGATCGTATCGGAAAAGCACTGAAAGGAATCCATGATTCTGGGTTGGTTCATCGTGATTTCCATAGGTATGAATAATAAAATTATTTTATTTTTAAATATGAATATATTTATATATATTTTTTATTTTATTTATTTATTTGTTTATTTATCTTTGCTAATATTTTAATATCTTAATGTTTGAAAAAAAAATTTAGTGGTAACATTTTGAGACATGAAAAGTTAGTCTACATCACTGATCTAGGGATGTGCCGTCCAGTAAATGAATCTAAAGATTCAAAATCTTATGGTGTGCTTCCGTACGTGGCACCGGAAGTGTTGAGGGGTGATCCATACACTGAAGCTGCTGATATATATAGTCTCGGAATGATTATGTGGGAAATGTCTTCTAACGAGCCTCCATTCTCCGATAGAGCTCATGATTATAAATTGGCTCGCGAAATTTGTTTAGGTTTAAGGCCTCCCATTATTTCCGGTACCCCAAAAGGTTATGTGGCCGCCATGCTTCGTTGTTGGGATTGTGACCCGTCTAAACGTCCAACCATTGATGAATTACTAAATGTGTCATACAAATGGCGCTATCTGTCAGATGGAAAGGCACCATTCCAAGGTCCTAAGACAAAGAAAGTAAAGACTGGTACCGTCAAGTCCGTGCTTACCAATTCTAATACTGTGCACCCTCAAGCTTTCTATACTAGTAGATTACTGCATTATCCTAATCTACCAGAACCCAAAAACTCCGATCATTACACACTTTTCGATTCAACAACTGGTGAAATACACACGATAGTTAGAAAACAACGTATGTAATTAGTTTTTGTCTATTAGTCTTTCTACATGCAGATTAATTAACTATATATTTTATCATGTCAGATTCCAAAAAAGACTCTGATAGGTCTTCGTTCGTACCAGATGAACTTTCATCGTTTGCATCTTCTGATAAGGGCAAGGAAAAGGCCAATGAAGAGTATCGTCCTCGTTCCAATAGAAGGGAGTCCATAACTAGAAGTATGACAACGAGTAAAATAGATAAGAGTACTATTGAGAGAATAAGATCCGAGCGTAAGAAATGTACGTAATTTTTATATTCAATTTATTTTAATTTTTGATGATTAATTAATTACTAATCGTAATATCATATCATTTTTTATTAGTATCCCATTATCGATGGAATTCTACGATTAATGATATTCCTAGACAAGTGGAACTTTTAACTATCGATGGTAATTTTTAGTGACAAATTTCATGATTTAATTTGTGATTGATCAAAATCGCTTACTGTTCATCTCTGTCATCTTTTATAGATATAAATGAATAAAAAAGAGTATATATAATGAATGAAATTTATAATAAATGTGAATGGAATTTATAATGAATGTAATGAATGGATTTATGGAAAATGTCATCTGTGGTGAAACTAGTAATCCCAGACAAAAAAGAACATTATCATTTATTATTTATTATTTTATTAACAAAATATATGTCGAATATTAATTTTTAGATTTTTAGACATTTTTTTTTTTTTCAGAAAAAAATTAACGTGTTTGGTTATTTCCTGGTTTCTGCATTATACAGCGTTTAATGGCATATTAAAAATTTTTTCATGTTCAAATAACATGTAATTCAAATAATTTTTCTCTTCAAAATATCATTTTTTTAAAAAAATACTAGGTTTAGCAATTTTAATAAAAATAAGTGTTCAATTTTGCAATCGAATTATTGTGTTATATCAAAATTAGATTAACTTTTACTAGTGACAATTGATTTCGGTTATTACCGATAATGTGATAATTAATGCCCCATAGTCATAGGAGGACAAACATATAATTGGCTGATGTAAATCAATTGCCCGGGTAACTAATTTATATTGTTTAAAGTACCTTTTCAAATTGCAACGTTTCACGATGTTATTTATGAAATTTATGAACCAAATTTTTTTTTCATAATTAGGTTTAGAGGAGCGTTGCTCTTAGCAATGCAAAATAATCAATAAAAGCAGAGAACTTAGAAGCGAAGCGATCAAGGTGTTTAAGGTAAAGTTAGATTTAGAAATAGACTCTTACAAGCTATTAATTTATTGTATTTAGTTTAAATTATAACATTATTCTTGTGTAAACCTTATTAAATAGATGACTTTAGAATTAATAGTACTGTACGTGTAGTACTGTACGTGTAGTATTAATTAATAATATAAAGATGGTAATGCAATGAATTAATGATGAAAAATAGAATTATTAAAAATTTACATGAATAAAGAACGAAATTTCTTGAGTTTCTTTTTGAGAGAATTAATGATGAAAAATAGAATTATTAAAAATTTACATGAATAAAGAACGAAATTTCTTGAGTTTCTTTTTGAGAGATACAAATACGAATACAGTAATAATTAGAGAAATATACAGTATACTGTAAATAAGTGATATTGCTAATTAATAATATATTTCGAGGATAGTAACCTATCTAGCGAAGGCAGTAATAGTTAAAAATATGATTTTTCTCGAACATATAATTTATGAAATATAAAGAATAGTATATAATTATAAAGTTTCATCTATATCGTTATCGTTATTTGATTGACTAATTATCATATAATTTGATTGGTTAATTATCACGGAAACTCACGGGTAGATCTACAAAAATTAGCCAATCAAGCATTTGTCTTCCTATGAGCCCCATAGCGATAGCGATACAATTTAATGTAACGTGCCACGGTCAGGAAAGTCTGAAAAAAAAAAAAATCGCGTTTTTCAAAAACTTGCTTAACTACCTTTGTACTCTAACAAAAAGGTTTACCTTATCATATATCAAAATTCTAGAATCAAAAAAATCTAGCATAAACGCTAGCCTTAACAAATGAGCTTATAAAAAATTTTTCGTCGTGAAATTTTTATGAGAGGTTGTGATAATTAGAATCATGCGCATTCATATGTTGCAAGGTAACATAGAACATTCCTGTAATTAGGTATTGTAATATTGACGACATACATTTATTGATATATTAAAAAATTAATATCGATATCTTATCTCAACATCTCCCCAAACAATCTCGATCGATTTAACGTAGCCCAATTGAAATTGGACATATGTCAAATTCCAATCTACCTAGTTTAATTGACAACACTAATCTTGATTATCCTGATTTCTATAAATTGGATAAACTAGTAAAAAAAAAAGTGGTAATCTCTTACTCTGCAATCGTAATTTTTATATTTTCGTATTTCGTATTTTTTCATATATTCACATTCGAATTTACATAAGCAATAGAACTTTTACATAAGGCGATAACACTTTCGCCTTAGAATTTGCCCAACACGTTCGCAAATCTTCTAAGCTCGTTACATAATCCTCACAGGGGACGGAGGAGAGTCGCAGCAAAACCAAAAACTAGTCCCTAGTGATAACTTCAATTTCGCTTGACTTTCTCTACTTCGTGCTTCATTTACTATCTTTACCCGAAACTTGTTAACCCCTTCCTACTGACTCAAATATGTCTCCTCACTTTTCTCGACTCCATTCCGAAACCCCTGTGACACTCCCCGACACCCATACTATTTTTAAAGTTGCTACTCCAAACGTTAAATACACTGATACGCATATTATTTCTGATTATGTGTATCATAATGCAATCGTGTCTAAAAATAGTGAGGACACCTTCGAGGTTTTGCCCACTGAAACCAAATACCAGTTTAAGACTGAATTGAAAGTCCCAAAAGTTGGGTAAGTGGGAAAATAGTGATATTAATTGGCCTCAACAATTATGAGCAGAATTTGGGCAAAAAAAGTCAGTTTTAATTGATCTTCGGTCAGTTGCGAAAATTTTATTTTTAGGTTTATTAATTTTTGTATTAGTTTTCAAAGTAATTTAAATGTAATCGATCAGTCCTTAATTGGTCCCATCTAAATTACTCAAAAACTAATATAGGAACTAATAAATCTATATTAATTAATTAGAGTTATTATAGTTAAAATTTTCACAAATTCGCTTATTAACCAAAGACCGGTTAAACCCATCGGCTCACAATTGCTGTGGAACCGATTAAAAAAAAACGCGTATATTTCAAAAATGGAAACTTTTCTTGTCAATCATATGACGTGTAATTAGATGATACTGTCGTGCTTGAAGTTGGAATCTGCCTGAAAGTAGAACACCTTGTGTCACCAACCTAAAAAATTTCGCTATTGGTGTGTTGTACCTGATCCCGAAATTTGATTGATCAGTAGCGAAATATTTTAAATCCCTAATGCATGCAAGAAAAAACTAATTTTCGGTGCTAAATTTAATCAGGTGCAACTTCAAGCAGTCGCCCTTTTCAAGAACGACAAGATTATGATATTAACTTTAGCACGTTCCTGGTGTTGTACCGCAACAACATTTATGATTTGTTGCAATTAAAGATGCTTACATTTCACCTTGATTATACATTTACTTTACAGATTGATGATGGTTGGCTGGGGTGGTAATAATGGTTCTACCTTGACTGCAAGTATTGTTGCTAATCGTAATAACATCTCTTGGCGTACCAAGGAAGGGATTAAATCTCCAAATTATTTTGGATCTGTTGTTCAAGCCTCAACACTTAAACTCGGTGTTGATGCTAAAGGAAATGATGTTTATATTCCATTTAACCAAATTTTGCCCATGGTTCATCCCAATGATCTGGTCCTTGGTGGTTGGGATATTAGCTCTTTTAACCTTGCTCAAGCTATGGAACGTGCTCAAGTTCTTGACTATGATCTCCAACGTCAAGTTTCTCCAATGCTTCAAGAATTTACTCCTCTTCCTTCCATTTATTACCCTGATTTTATAGCTGCTAATCAATGTGATAGAGCTGATAATCTTATTCCTGGTGATAATAAAAAAGATCACTTGGAACACATTCGTAATGATATTCGCCAGTTTAAAGCTGCTAATCAGCTTGATAAAGTGATTGTTGTTTGGACTGCTAACACTGAACGATATTCCGAAATTATTCCAGGTGTCAATGATACCGCTGATAATATCCTCAAAGCTGTTGAACAAAATCATCCTGAGATTGCTCCTTCCACTATTTTTGCCTTAGCTTGTATTCTTGAAAAAACTCCATTCATTAATGGTTCGCCCCAAAATACTTTTGTTCCTGGCTGTATCGAACTTGCTGAACGTGAACACGTTTACATTGGTGGTGATGATTTTAAGTCTGGTCAGACGAAAGTTAAATCTGTTTTGGTGGACTTTTTGGTTAACGCTGGTATTAAACCAATTAGTATCACCTCTTATAACCATCTTGGTAACAACGATGGTAAGAATTTATCTGCTCCGCAACAATTCCGTTCTAAAGAAATCTCTAAAAGTAGTGTGGTTGATGATATGGTTGCGGCAAATCAAATTCTTTATAAACCGGGCGAACATCCCGATCATGGTAATATCATATCTTGCCAACATTTTTATTTATTTATTATTATTATTGTAACTAAGGTATTTTGATATCCTTCTGAATTTGAATAGTTATCGTCATTAAATATGTACCTGCAGTAGGGGATTCCAAGCGTGCCTTAGATGAATATGTTTCGGAAATATTCATGGGTGGTAAAAATGTAAGTGATATTTATTCATTTATTTATTTATATTTTAAATTCTTAAATATATGATTATACCTACGTTTTTAATACATTGAATTGCATTTATTAGACTATTTCGTTGTATAATACATGTGAGGATTCTCTCTTGGCCTCACCCCTTATCTTAGATTTGGCTATCATTACTGAATTAATGACTCGTATTGAGTATCGTGCTGATGGAATGGCAGAATTCGTACCTTTTGATTCTGTTTTGTCTATTTTAAGTTTCATGTTGAAGGCTCCATTGGTTCCACCTGGCACTCCTGTTGTTAATGCGTTAAGTAAGCAACGTATGGCGATGGAAAACTTTTTCCGTGCTTGTGTTGGATTGGCTCCTCAAAATGAAATGCTTTTAGAACATAAAGCACCAGCCTGCAAAAAGTTTTAATTACATATTTTTTATTTAGCTCAATTGTATCAAGACGATCATGCTTTTATATAGATTTACACAGTTAGTAGGTTAACTAAGATATACTGGATGTTTAAACTAATAATAACTCTTTTGTGCTCGTTATCAAGCTGTATTTACTAGTCTTATTTGTGCAGTTAAGGATTTTTGCCAAAAATAAACAGTGTAAATCTTACCTTTTAAAAAATATCGATTAAATAATTCTAAAATTTCAGTTGCATAAAATTGTATAGTATTGTGTTATTGGTATAATTATTATATACTTTGTGCCTCAGATCGGTTCTTGCGTCGGATCTAATCCGACGCACATCAGATTCCGATTTCCAGGTGCAACTAAATAAAAAACTTGGGGATTATGTGGATTCAGTTGCGCATATAAATGTATTTATATGCAAATTCGAACATATCTAGATGCAAATTCACAATTTATTTGCGTAACCAGCATATTCATTTCAGATTTTAGTTGCGGGAACTTATAAATCATTTGCGCTCCGCAAGTTCCGCAACCCAATTTCAGACACTGTATCAGGGACAGGGAATAATATCGATTTAATTTTGCAAAAATATCGATCGATTTGGTGAAACATATGGGCCGATTTAAATCTTTCGGTGATGTTTTCGAATAAGCTCTTCAAAATTGTACCAATCAAATTAATCTTTATAGTGATTATTGCGAATTGTCTTAAATTAAAAATAGATCCCATGATGAAATGTTATTTTTAACCAATCACAAACTATCGTTTCAAAAAAGTTTCCTGTGTTAATTTGTGTTGGGAATTTGTTTTTTGCAAAATTAACTTCACAACAATTAAAAAGATATATCATTTCACAAGGTGTCTAACCAAAAAAGCCAAGCTATGTCTTTTAGGTGTTAAACAAATATCTCTGTTAAATGAAGATTTGGTGACTTAAAGAAAAAATAAAAGAATAAAAAAAATTTATAAATATAATGACAAAAATGTGATTTGATGCATATATCTGTTCAAAATCTGCATTTTGTATAATTTTTATTATTCATACTTTTCTTGTATAGTTTTTTCAATCCATTCATTGAACGCAAATTGTAGATTAATTTTATTATTTACAAAATAAAATTTTTATAATAACTAATAATGGTAAAAATATGTAAAAAACTTTAAAAGATATAAATTATTCAATAAAAATATAACTTGACAGACATGTATAATACATACCTTACAATTAATAATTAAAAAAGAATTAAAACTGGTTAAAGTTTTAATAAGTTTTAAAAAGTCATATCAAACGTCTTATTGAGAAAAAGGCTAGTTGTTGCCTGTGTCTCTTTCTATGATAACTCAAAATTTTACTAGGGTAACACCTGTTGGATAACTAAGTAAAAATATTCCTATCATAATTTCACTATACCCTAATCCTAACTCTAATTCTACTCGTAGCCTAACTCTAATACTATTTTAAAACTTTTTATAATATCAAAATTTTATTAGGAAAAGCTCTGTCGTGTAACTAAGAAAAAACATTCTTCTTACAATTTTACTTTATGTCAACCCTAATTCTATTCTAATTCTAACTTAGTCTATCCTAATTTCTATTATATACTATAAGAAGTGCAAAGTACATGGGGGCATTATAACAGGAGAAAACGTACCCGATCCAAAGTGAATCCCACACACGGTGTGATCAATTAAAACTAAAATAAATAATTTTAATTTTAATTGATCACACCGCGTGTGGGATTCACTTTGGATCGGGTACGTTTCCTCCTGTTGGGCACCATTTAGATTTTCCCTTTTTTAGATTATCAATTTAATTAAATTTATTTTTTTAATTATATTTAAAATTATTAAATCTTTTATTATTATTTTTAAAGAGTCTTGCATCATATGTTTATTTTAATTTTTATTAAGTCAATATTTAAACCATCGCTCAGATATTTTATTTTAAAATGGCAATAAAACTTCAAATGTGCAACTCATTGAAATTTTAGTTATTTGACTCAATGTAAACTTTTAAAGTTAAAAAAAATATATCCAATACTCAAAACTGACTTGACCAAAAATATTAATCAATATTCCAAAAAAGATTCTCAACATTTAACCAATATAATTTTAACAAATAATAAATAAGACGTATTTTGCAATCTAATTCCGGTCTTAGGTTCTTTTGAAGAAACAGCTCAATATCTTGGCAGTAATAACCACACCACTTATAACATAATGAATCATTTTAATGTCAACAATCATTAATATGCTTAAACCTACAAAACTAACAAATCAAAATATTTTTATAAAGATTGAAGAACAAAATATGGATAAACAAAAAAAAAGATTTGATTAGCCTTATCAAACTTTAAACACGTTAGAAAGCGTTACTCTTTTATTGAAAAAGGAACAACATTATAATATATTTTACCTTTCATTCTCAATTCTTGTGTTAAAAAATCTGATTTCACTCCTAATAAGATTGAGAAGATTAAGATTTATTAAAAATAAATACCATGAAATAAAAAACAACTCGATAGCAAATTTAACAACTACAGCTTCAGCAGAAATCTACCAATTACTTTTTCTCTTTTTAATTCGCAGAGCGAACTTTATGAGTATCTTGCCGTTTCTCAAATACCTTTTAACTCAGATCCCTTTAAATGGTGAAAAATTAATAAAGATTTCCTGTAAAAAGTGATCAATTCCTTCTAAAAGGTTATTTTCAAATAAGGGTAAAATAATGGGACCTAAGAGAACACACATAAATCCGGAGTTCTTCAAAAGATTAGTATTTCTAAAAAGAAATTATGACGTTTAAATAATATTCATCCAATTTATTAAAAAGAGTAATAAATATATAGTTAATTTAAGATTCTTTAATATTTGGTTTGATAATGGGTCAACTTCTCTTTGGGTTCCAAGAACAACTTGCCAATCAATATCTGGATATAATAGAAAAAGAAAATATTATGATTATCTCTTTTTTACACTTCCAGCATCACTATCGGCGAGCTGCCAGGCAAAAAAGAGGTCACCGGCGAGCCGCCAGGCGTGATTATCTCTTTTTCACACTTCCATCATCGCTATCGGCGAGCTGCCAGGCACAGTGATGTGGATCTTTTATTGCAAAAAAGAGGTCACCGGCGAGCTGCCAGGCGTGATTATCTCTTTTTTACACTTCCAGCATCACTATCGGCGAGCTGCCAGGCACAGTGATGTGGGTCTTTTATTGCAAAAAAGAGGTCACCGGCGAGCTGCCAGGCGTGATTATCTCTTTTTCACACTTCCATCATCACTATCGGCGAGCTGCCAGGCACAGTGATGTGGGTCTTTTATTGCAAAAAAGAGGTCACCGGCGGCTGCCAGGCGTGATTATCTCTTTTTCACACTTCCATCATCACTATCGGCGAGCTGCCAGACACAGTGATGTGGGTAAATATTAGACTTGTGACCCGAAACCTCTTCGAAATAGAATGTTAATAATTAACGCATATTACTATAAAGTAACACCAAAATTTTTGCAATAATCATATATAAATTTTTAGTACTTCAATATGGTGACAGGGTTTCGGAAAAAATTTCGAGTCACAAGTATATTTACATCAAAAAAATAACAGCAAAAACAAATTCAAACTATTGGGAATATTATGTATACGAAAACAAAAAATATATCATTCATCTTGCTGAAGGAGATCTTTCAAACCCTTGGGAATATCTAAGACGTCACGAACCAATCGACCTTGATAATAATTAATATCCATGTCAAGATTTTGCATGATTGATATTTGTTCTACAATTTCATCCTAAAAACCACAAGAGGTTGTAAGATATGAGAAAACAAGTAATACGGTATGGATGATCTTTTTACATACATGAAATATGAACATCAAACGAAAAATTGCTTTAAATTTTGCACGTGCATCAAAAGAGAATGGAAAGACTGCAGAAGCCAGTTCGGATGAATGGAACGAACCATCAGTTGACATATTTAGAGTGTATAATGTCATTCGGTAACCTGAATAAACAAGATTGTAATGTAATCAGTAATTAAAACCTCCTTTTAATAAGACAGAGCAATACTTACCAATAATCTGTGAACTCAAGACCTTTATTTTTGTTGCGGTCTCAACAGGACAGTCGAGGTGTTCCATTAAAATAGCCACTAAGTTAAACAAATCCGTATGAAGTGATTTTATTGTGTCATTAATTGTGTGCTTCTTTGAGGCAACTGACGGTGGGCCTGCTACTTCCATATGCCACATATCCTTATCATCCAAGACGCGAGTACCTTTTGAATGGTTGACAATCGAATTGAATGGACAGTACATGAACAATAGTTTAGTGATTAAGTAACTTACCCCTTCCATCTACTAATACAATTCCGGAATTCGTTGATGATTTTGAGATTTTTGTAGCTGGTGAGTGAGACTCTATCCAATCAAAAACCATTGTCTCAAATGTTGATTCGTAAAATTTGAACAATGATGATATGTGTTGTACAATATATTTCCTTTCTTTGATATTTCTTGAAAGTGTTGAACGGATGTCAACAAGATTATAGCTTGAATAAAAACAAAGCTGAATATTAAAACATCTTACTCGTATTATGGATCATTACAATATTATTACAATTAGAGAAAAAACTTACAAATCCATCAAAACCTTCTCACAATACAATCGGAACTTATTTTCTGGCTCATTTTTTATGTGTTCCATGATCGCCGTTTTAAATTCGTAGCTAGGTTTCTTTTAAAACATTAATATCTATTATAGCTGTTGACTTTTTAAAGAGGTTAAGAGAACTCACATCAAAGGCGTTATCTAGATATTTAAACAAATCATCTGTCCATCCGGTCGGGAGCCGATCTCGGTTTACTACTTGATTTTGTACGATTTTATTCCCCATTGCTTCAAGATATCTAACAACAGATTATTTAAATCAAAATGGCAACATAAAATACTTGCAATGAACTTAAGACTTACAAGACTACACTATCATGATCCACAATTCGTTTATTGGGTGTGCTCAAGAGTTCCTCGTCTGTTTTTACTCTTCTGGGAGGCGGTGTTGTACACCTTTGTTCATGATCTTTCGATGACTTCAAAGCTTCTTGTTTCTGCTCAGCGTTCAAGTGCTCATCGAACACATAAGCTTGTGCCTGTTCTGATATCGTTTCCTGTATAAAGCGTAAGTCTAGTTTCTCTGACACGAAAAAAAAGAAAAAATAATTGATAAAGAACGTACTCCTACGACATTCCTGTATTTACGTTTTCGATCATATTGTTTCTGGGCATTATAATATTTTCGACATGCTTCCGTAACGGCTATACCTTTCCACGTCTTTAGTATATATTTAGTATTAGTTTGGGATTCTTGCAATTTACACTGCGCAATTTTCGGGATTTACCTCCAACCATTTAATGTATTCATCACATAAAGAACGAATAGCTAGTGGTGTTGCTCTTAGCTCATGGATCTGTTTTAAATTTGCAACAAAAAGTTCTTTAACTTGATCAAAACTGTATTCTGACCTATTGTTGATCTTGTGATTGACATAAATCTCCAAGCTCCATTTACTCGCGGGCTCAAAAATAAAGAACATATCCACACCAAGAATGTTTCTTTCGCACTTGTATAGAAAATATTTAGTTGTCTTAAGTCGAGGTTCCGGGCATGAATCCATTTTTAAGAATCTCTAGAAAAAAAACGCGTCATAGTGTTTTCATATCAGAGAAAAATAGATTTTTTTATATAAAGTGCGAACTTTTGTACCACACAGATAACATGTGATTCACATCTAACCTTACACATGATGTAGGGATGTTAATCGGTCCTCAGGGATCGAGTCCCAACCGATCCTTGAAAGGATCCGTAAGGACCCGAAGGATTCGGTCCTTAAATCACATGAAAAAACAATACATTTTATAGGACTTAGATCCTAGACCGAATTATTATAACAATACAAAATTAATTTGATTGGATGAACCTATTCGGTAGGATCTGATATAGGATTCAAATCCTGTATATTGTATTGTATTTTCATGTGATTTAAGGACCGAGTCCAGGATCGTCCTTTTAGATCCTAGGATCGGATCGGACCGGATTCGCAATTTAACATCCCTAACATGATGTGATCAATATAAAATTAATTTTTTTGATGTAAAGAATATAGTCAAGGATTGTTTAACCTTGAAAATAAGATTATTTGCTCAAACTCTAAATAAACTAAAATGAATTTTTTTTATATGAGTGACAGTTTATTTGACTAATAAGTACGCTGACCGACCCTCATATAGAATTGCCAAAATTTATTAAAGTTAGTGCGGACATGTCGTCTACAATTGCAGACGTATTGATCAAATTAATTGACGTACTTAATTTTATAAGTAAATCTATAAAAAACATCTTTTATTTATAACTTTCATTGAATTAAAATAAAAATCAATTTTAAAACTTTAGTTACTTATTCTTGAAAGTTTGAGTAACAGTTAATAATAAAGTTAAAAATAATCTTGATCCTAAAGTTGAACGTTCCTTTACTATGTTTCTTAAGTCAAAAAAGTTCCCACTATAAAATATTTTAAATATTTCATCATAATTTTTTGACGATGAGTCGGTCTTTTAATTTAAGGGCTAAGTGCTGGAAAAAATGACCAAATTGACAAAAAATAGATTTTGTGGAAAATTGATTTTTATATTATAAAGTTTATATTAAACTTATAGAAAAATACAGATTTCAAATGATTATACTGTAAATTTTTATTAATGTAACAGCGTTTCTTTCTTAAGTGGTAAATGTTCTTGAACTAATTTTAAATTAGTTAAGCTTAATAAATTCATTTTAAAAATTGTCAATTTGGTTCCTTTTTCCAGCACCTAGTCCATATTATTATAATTATTAACGGTATGTCAGTCTTTTGACTAAGAAACATTGTAAATAAACGTTAAACTTTAGGGTTAAGACTATTTTTAACTTTATTATTAACCATTAGTTAAATTCGTACAAAGAATCTTCAGATACTCAAGAATAAGTATCTGAAGTTTTTAATTTAATTTTTATATTAAACTTCGAAGAAAGTTAAAAAATAAAACCAATTTTATAAAATTTATATATAAAATTTAGGTACGTCTATTAATTTGATCAATAAGTATGCAAATCTAACATATAAACTCTCCGACACGTCGGCTGACTGTAAATAAAAATCGTGATGTTCTGTGATTTTTTGTTGAACACCGGTGATGTGATTAATCAGCGTCATTAGGAAACCTTATGATTTGTATCCGAGTAGATTCGACTATAAGTATCTGAGCGAACTTGACAATTTATATCAGAGTAAACATGACGATTTGTATCAGAGCATGCCTGATTATTTGTGTCTACGAGTAGATCTGGAATTCCTGCACTGTATTTTCTTCGATATAATATAAAGCCAGCTGCCATTATTACGTTAACAAAAATAAAGGAGCCTATTACACCACTCACTATTGCACCTACATTGGACAAAGGTGTATAATTAGATGTAGGCGTATTTGGTTCTGAGCGGGGTTATTCGGGCTATTCGGATTAGGATTCCATGTTATGAAGTTCATTAATTTTGCATCGACCGCATTCTTAGTTTATCAAAAATTGCAAAGTCCTAGTGCATTAACTTGCTGCACGTAATCAAGTTTGGATTTTAATGATCGAAAATCTTCATAAGAAACATAATAGAATCATCGTTGTTGTGTTTGTTGATAAATATATGGTTGTTGGGCTTGATTATCAAAGCCATAATTCCATTGTGGAATTTTGATACTTGTGTAACAAGGTGGTAATAAATTAGTATTCAAATTTTACCACGACCAAGATGCATATACTGAAAGTCCGCATGGATCTTGAATCGTTCATCAGCAAATGAAAATTGAGCAGTTGTAACATTTACAATCTTCAGGTTTTGATTATTGGTATCCGCTGTAATGTTACTTGAAATGACAACTTCAACAATACCACCAAAATCGATTCCCAAAACGAGTTTTGATTTACTGACATAACTATTCCAAGCATCAAAAATTTTTTGAATATCATTTATTCCAGCATTCGTAGACTTGTCACCTATATTTCTGTATTAAGATAAAATGCCTAATAATTTTATAAGGAAATTAAATAAACTAGGTTAATGCACATTATCATGTATTCGGTGCTAACAAGTTATTATGTATGATTAATAATTTTTTTAAAAATTTAATAGTATCCCTATTAAAAAATTTCATGGCAGAATGTAATATACCCGGGGATATATCATATGTAAAAAAAAACTTTCACGTGAAAAATCGCTTGTATGGTACCCGGGTATTATACAAATTGTGTTATGCCCGGGTACCGTGGTCAGCGCCGTATCAGTACATAATATGCATTTAGACAGTTAATTTTCCGATATTTGATTTTTTAGGGTATGTATTTAGACAATATCGACCATATTAGTCAGTCTTACACGTGTATATAAACGGACATCGCGTAATTTGAGGAAGCAAAATATTCTTAGCTGCTAGAAATGCAAGCGAATTGCCGTAACTTTTGCCGTAACTTATTGTAACATAACAGATAATAAAGTTACGGCAAAAATGCCGCAACTCATTATAATTATTACATATCTGATATTATAGAGGTAGTTACGACAAGTTACGATAAAAATTACGGTATCATTGGGACGATTCGCCTGCATCACTATCCGCTACATTTAGGAAAATATGACTTTATAACATAATTTGTTAAAAATAAAGTTAAGTCCTACCTTAATATTCACAAAACTAATAATATCAAAAATGCTGGAGGTAAGACCATATATAGGATATTAGCCTGTTGTGACCATTAAATTCTTACTGTTATTAGATTGTTTTAATTTGCTTGATAAATCAGCAATAAGAGATATGAAAACAGGATTTAAATTATTAGTACTAAAATTTTGTCCTTGCGTCCCTTGCGATGGATAGCATGGAAGCATATTAGGATAATCAATATCAATCTATAATTAAAAGTAACGTCATTAAATAATGTAAAATATAAGGATTGTTAAACTTACACCATCGAACGAATTGTCGGTAACAATTTTAACCAAATCATTAACAACATTATTATTTTGATTATATTGCCCAATTTCAACGTTAGAAAACGGTGATATTTTTGCTAAGTCTTGACCAGTAGGCAACACGACTGAAAGGATTACCTATAAGTAGAAAATTAGTCATTACAATAAGTACTTTAACATGTACTCAGCATTTATTACTC